CCCCACCACGACCTCTATGGGGGCCCCTCGGCTCGTGGAACACCTCCCCTCCTCCATGCCGCAGTCCAGGTTTCAACCCCATTCGCTTTTTAAACCTTTGATTCAATTATTAACTAGTAAAATCACCTATCTTTAAGATAGAGTTGCTTAAGATAACATAGTACTATTAATAACAATAGAATTGAAACATTTCCCCAAGAATTGTTGAACTTTGTACAAAATCAGCATGTTCTGTGTCTTGTTTTTAGATTGGGCCGGTTTAGATGAAGATGAAGATGCACATGTGTGGGAAGACAACTGGGATGATGACAATGTGGAAGATGATTTCTCCAATCAGTTAAGGTAATTTGAACAGTTTCAGTATTTCCATATAAAGAATGATCTGTAGGGTGACATGGGAAAATGTGGATATCATGATATTGAGGAGCTACTACCCCTCTGACTGTCTGCCATGCTTGATAGGATGTATGTGAATTGGGGTTCACCAACATCTGAGGCATCAAGTTGCCAGGGTCTTGTCTAAATTATCAGACTAGACCGTGATGAAAAATACAGCATGTACCCAACATACATTAGATAATTTTCCAAAACAAACATGGAACTATGCTTTTTAAAGAGTAAACATTGGCTTTGTTCAGACTTAATTCTAAACTATCAGTGCCACAAGAATGATTGTATATTCCCACTGGATAATATTCTCCTCAGCCAGAATGGCACAAGGAGACTAGGAGAGTTCTGCTTCTATTCTATATTAACAAGATTTTAACTTGTTAAATGTAAATATGTTTACTATAATATCTACTTTAAAATTATAAGATGAAACTGGTTTGTTTCCCTTGATCATAGTTAACAATAACTACAGTATATCCGTTTGGTCAAACAGTAATCAGGGAGACTAGGTGCATTTCAACTGCAGATGTGTTTTAGCATTGTGCCGTTGTGCCTAAACTAAATGGACAATCTACTGAATTTGACATTAATATAAGTGGTAATTTATTGTCAAATTGAGAAAAAGTACTTCAAAGTCAATTTTCAGAACTTAACTAAGTTGATCCTCTACTATAGAGTGAATATTGAAGAACTGGGCAGAATACGAAAAACACAACAGATTCCTAAAAGGGATGATACCGTATTCAATGAGAACACAGTTAATTACCAAATTTCAGTTGCTTCATGTATTTTCTACAACAGAGAAGGCTATGGAACTTGTAAAACTACAACTCCCATGATTCCATTGTATTGAGTCATTGCAGTTAAAGTGTTGTCAAACAGCATGGATTTTACTCTTATATTATTATCCTAAGTCATACATGCTGTGCTATTACTAGGAGAATGTGAAGATATGATAAACATAATGAATTAGACCCAAACTAAGTTAAATTGCACTTAAACCTCATTGAAATTAGTGTGAAAAGTTAGCCATGAATGGCTACTCTCAAGTAAATCCCATAGAATTTAGTGATGTTTCCTTCTAGGTTGACTGGTATAGGATTACAGTGAGTATAAAAAACCATTAGTTATATCTTATTTCAACCATTGTTTTAAATATTTGTTTAAAGATACATCTGAAATTTTATATGACTGGGATTATTTCTCTTTTTTTTCCAGGGCAGAACTAGAAAAACATGGCTACAAGATGGAAACCTCATAGCTTCCAGTGATGTTGCCATTTGGCAATGGACTGTAAATTTGAATGCAAAAGTGTATGGAATGCAGGATGGAAGAGAAGACTGTCCATTATTTCCCTAAATTTTGTTTTCTGTTTTGTATAAATAAAGAAAATTAATCTAAATGGTCTGTTGCTTAAGTTTACTGTTCAGCTTACTTTTGAATTACTCCTAGGCTCTCCTTGTGGAAAGAAAAAGTGGCGTATAAATAAACATAATAATAATATATTGCTGACTGTTATAAACATAGATTTATCATAACCTTTCCCTTTAATATTTTTAAATATGGATGAAGTCAACCTAGAGAAAACTAAAAAATAACATTTTGTAGCATTTCATCTCTTCATATCAGAATTAGGAAAAACTTTTCAATAATTTTCTTTTATGATGCCTTAATATATTTAAAATTAGCCTCAACATACAGGTTTTTTGACTTGCACTGGTAGAAGGTGTAGATTACAATACCTCATTATAGAACCAACTACAAAAGGAGAATTGGAATGAAAAGGTTCCTAACTCTTTTGGCATGGTTTGGCACACTGTAGAGGTATTGCTGAATGTAGCCTCATTTCCCACAAATATGTTCAAAAATTGGCAGCATGATTATGGCTGATTCCACATCACCAAACTTCCAAAAAAGAAGCAATTTTATTTCTTGTACTTGGTTAACCTTGTTGTGAAATGAGTAAACATGAGCATTCATACTGAATATGTGAGGCCAGTTTTAAAAAGCAGAGTAGGAAATTATATTAACCTAAATAGTAGTAGAACGCTTTTTTGAAACTTGCTTATCTAAATAGTCTTAAGTGTACCGTGATACAATGTAATAAAGGTTTGTAGCCAGTTTCAGGGGAGACATGGGTGGATTTATTGAATCAGCGAACCTGTTTTGAAATATCTAGGGTTATTTGTAGTACATTATTACATCTTTGTACAAAAGAAAATTTCCTTGGACCCAACCAGTTCCTTTGCCAACCTTTATAGTTCAACTTTAAATAGCCTTATACCTTTATTTGATAGTGTACAGTTTGGCAAAAGAAAGTAAATGACTACTTGAGCAGTTTAGTCATACATCTATTACTCACGGCACATGAGTCATTTAATAAATATATAGAACATTCATATATAGAAAATAGAATGGACTTGAGAGCCCATAAATGCCATAAAAATGTTTAGTTCTCTTCCCCTCACCGTATTTTAGCACTGCTCTGTGAATTACAAAAAAGGGGATCAAATATAGGTATAAATAGCTGAGAAAATAAAAGTTGGAGTGAAAAGCTTAGTTGACCCTCTTCAGTTTTATTTAGATGAGCACAGTCAACTGGAAAATGGAGAAGGATGGATAAATGTCTCTGAAAAGTGCTTTATTTAACTAACTTCTCAATACGAGTTATGAGTTGATCCGCTGTGTTGACTCATTTTACATGCATAGGAGTTTTGTGTCTAGGCTTGAATTGACTGAAGTTTTTCAGGTACTTTTCTTTAAATATTTTTTATTTAAAATAGAGTGAAATTTTGCTCACATTACATTCTTGTTGGGAAAGAGTGATTCGTGTTTTTTGCCTTCTATATAACTTGAAAGTCTAATATATATATAGATATAGATAGGGATCTTCTGCACCTGAGGGAGATAAGAGGAGTAGCAAAATTACCAGTGGGAACCTCTGGTGAATCTGTTTCTGCCAAGAATGGGAGGATGACACTGAATCCAAGCCAATAAAAACTGCCCCAAAATTATTAAAAATTGCACAATAAAACCACATTGCTCAAACATAGTCACTTTAGATGTTATCAACCACAAGAAGCTAGCGACATCTATCTAACACTTCTGCTCCATTCATATACGAAGAAGGGTTGAGCTTGTTCTTTTGGAAAAGAAGCTAATTCTCCCCTTTCCACCTTTGTGTTCTGCTGCTCTAAGCATTTTCCTGCCTTGCTGGCTGGCTTACATTTTCTGAACTAGCCTCGGGGTAGATGTAAGTGGCATACCTCAATAAGGAAGTTATATGTTTTTTATCTTTGCTCCTTTAATATTAAAACTAAATTTCCGCCCTGTGGTTCTTCATATGCCAAAAGGAAAGACACGCTGGCTACCTCATTTACCTAATTTGGTCCAAAGAAAACAAGTATCTTTCATCGCCTGGACCCATAAACAGATACCTGAGATAGAAGTCAAAGACATAGCTGTATTAGTCTGGAATTTCAGTAAACTTTATGAAAACTTGTGCTACCAACTTCTTTCAGTCTCAAAGGTACTACAAAATCCCCTTGTATACAGAGATTGAACTGTTAGACTTGTTTTAAAATATTTATGTAGACCTCTTCTTGCTACCACGTGATGTAGATGTTAGAATAGTGGAAAGCACTGCAATGGGAAGCAAAGTCAACAGAGGGCAGAGACATATTTCTGACGGTCTTAGGAACTCCTTTGGCAGAGAAGGCTGAAGATCTCTCTGCCTGTCCTCTTCCCTTTTGGAAACGATGGCAAATCCTCCCACTAAAATCCCTCATCCACAGTGATTGGCCGACTGAGCTTCTCAGCCAAGGGAAGGGCTGTTTCTGAGACTCCAAGTGGGGAGAGGAGAGCAGGCGTGCTCAGTGCATGGCAGTGTGGTATGCATGTATGGGCGAGGGGGAGCATACGAGCCTCGAGGGAGGCGCACACCAGAGAGTCTCTTCAAGACATGGGGGTTCTGTGTGGAAAGTTTAGCCCAATTCTGTCATTGGTGAGGTTCAGAATGCTATTTGATTGTAGGTAAACTAAATCCCACCAAGACAACTTCCAAATATAAAGATCTATTTTTTCCCAAACTCCACCAGTGTTCACATTTGGGCATATTGAGAATTCGTGCCAAGTTTAGTCCAGATCTATCATTGTTTGAGTCCGCAGTACTCTCTAGATGTAGGTGAACTACAACTCCAAAACTCAAGGTCAATGCCTGCCAAACCCTTCCAGTATTTTCTATTTGTCATGGGAGTTGTGTGTGCCAAGTTTGGTTCAATTCCATCATTGGTGGAGTTCAGAATGCTCTTTGTAGGTGAACTATAAATCCCAACAACTAGAACTCCCAAATGACAACATCTAAAAATTACACCCTTCATGTTTTATCAAAGTCATATATTTATTTATTCCATTTATACCCCCACCTTTCTCCTGTCAAGGGACCCAAGGCAGCTTAATGTTAAGGCTTAGCTAAAATGTAATGCAACAAAAATGTTTAAAAATATAAACAGTTTTCTAAAAACGAATCATTATAAGCAATCTGAAATGCATTTTAAAACACAATTTAAACATCATTTTAAAACACATAATAAAAACAAAGCACACCACTTTGAATCCTGTTTTGCTACTTTAAGGCTTGCCTAAGTAAAAAGGAAAGAGAGCAGAGAGAGAGCCATCCTCACCTCTGTGGTAGGGCATGCCACAGTCTTACAATTAAAATAAGTACTTTATAGATTAACAACCTTTAACAACATTTAAACAATTTAAAACATACAAAATGGAAAGCAATAAAAAAAACAGGACAAGAAACAATATAGTCCCATCTTAGCAATGGGGAAAATATATATTGACTTGAAATTAATTTAAGCTATTTCTTCACCTGCTTCCTGTCTGCCCGTCCATCCATCCATCCATCCATCCATCCATCCATCCATCCATCCATCCATCTATCTATCTATCTATCTATCTATGTTATCTGGAAAGTAAGGTTACAAGGCATGTAGCTCTCGGAGGGAATTTTCTCATGGGAAATTGGTATTGCCGTATAGTGGGAAGCCAGTATAAGCAAACGAGGAGTGCCAGTCATTAGTAGCTCATCGACTGGCATTGTGGTGAAGATTAGAGATGTGCATCCTCATTCTGTTTCCCTCCAAGTGTGACGTTTGCTTTGTAATACAATACCTACATGCTAAGGGCATGAATTTCACTGCGATTCTTGCGAAATCATTTATGGAGAGGACGTAATGTCAAGACAGCATGTGACAAAATGGGTACAGCATATATAGTGAGACCATGAAGAAACTTCGCAGAGCCATCCAAAACAAATGTCGTGGGATGCTGACGGAGGGAGTCTGTCTCCTTCATGACAATGCATGTCTGCACACCGTTCATGCAACACAAGAGTTGTTGACTTCATTTGGTTGGGATGTTTTAAGCCACCCCTCTCACAGCCCCAATCTCGCACCCAGTGATTATCATCTGTTCACTAAATTTCAGGAACATCTTGGTGGAAAACACTTTTCCGAAGATGTTTTGGTCATCAAAAGAAAATATAAAATTGGATCTGAAGAGTTGGAAATTACTACATCAAGGTGTAATCCATTGCAAATAAAGAGGGAATATTAAAGGTGGCAACTGAGGAAGGAGGAAGCTTCTAACAAAAGGAGCCCCGGTGGTGCAGTGGGTTAAACCCTTGTGACAGCAGGACTGAAGAGCAAAAGGTCGCAGGTTCGAATCCAGGGAGAATGTGGATGAGTTTCCTCTATCAGCTCCAGCTCCTCATGTGGGGACATGAGAGAAGCCTTCCACAAGGATGATAAAAACATCAATTCATCCGGGCGTCCCCTGGGCAACGTCCTTGCAGACGGCCAATTCTCTCACACCAGAAGCGATTTGCAGTTTCTCAAGTTGCTCCTGACACGAGAAAAAAAATATCCCTGTGCATACTCTTATGTTGAAACTGAATTTTCTGTGTCAATAATCTCAGGGAGTGAAGAAACTAAGCCACTGACATGGACCTTTTCATAAAGGAAAGCTTCTCTTCAAATTGACCAAGCATGCTGAAACAATTCCTTAGTGATTTCCTCCAGCCGTGATCAAGACACCTCAACAGAGGTGTTTTAACAATCCCATAGTTTATCATGAATACTCCTCTTCGTATTGACACATTTTGCTTGATAACTAAGCCTAGCTTGCAAGAACCATAAGTGACACATGCTGGGGTTTTACAATTTATGTATTGAGCTGCTTTGATATCACTGATTGTGGCTTCTATGGGTTCATCAGAGCTCAATCTTAGATACTTGTCCCTGGTGCAGCAGCTGAGAGCTTTCGATGATAGGGCTTATCATATGCCTGATGCTATCTTAGCAAATATTTGTAGTGTTCACCAACGATACTTCT